AGAGCTGGAAATGGACTAGCTGCCTTGAGCAATACGGGCAGCAGAGCACCCCATTGCAAGGTGGGGACAGGGTGGTATAGCTGCTGCCCTAGGGACATGCTCTACTGTCTCTTGGCACAGACCTGCGTCCGCTGGATATTCTCTCAGAGGTGGTCCCCACCAGTGGGCTGGCCCGTGGCATGAGAGTGTTTCAAGTGCAGGGGGTACGTGGTTTCCAGCTTGCCACCTCACGGCCCCGTGCCCTGGGCTTCCCTGCCTCCCGGCTCTTCATCCACTGCGACCACTTCCCGGAGGAGTTCTCCATCATCGTCACGCTGAGGGTGCTCAGTGTCCCCACCAAGGTAAGCACCACCAGCTGGGCATGGAGTGGGCACAGCCCAGCCCTGCAGGTTGTGGCACGCAGATTTGAGTCCATGCCCTCCTGCAGAGAAACGAGTACGTCTTCACACTGATGGCAGAGGAGAGCCCCAGCATCCTGGTGGGACTGCGCTACGCCCCTGACAAGCTCCACTTCCTCTTCTGGAACCAGGAGCATGCTGGCGGCTGGCAGACCCGCGTCCCCTTCCCCAACGTCTCCCTCTCTGACAACCAGTGGCATACACTCGTCCTGGCTGTCTCTGGCCAATCCTTCTCCCTGACGGTGGACTGCAGCATCCCCAAGGATGTGTAGGTTGGGGGCAGCAGCAGGGGGCTCAGGAGGGCTGGCAGGGTAATGTTCCTCCACCAGCATCTCCTCCAGCCATCAGCAGATGCCATGACGTTGTTCCCTGCCTCTTCTCTGCCCAACTGCAGGGTGGTGGAGACACCATTTCCAGCCTCTCTGTCGGTGAAGAGAGCCAGCTTCTACCTGGGCAACAGGAGGAGAAGAAAAGGCGTGTTCACGGTAGGTGCCCCATGGTGTGGGGCTGCTCAGGGGCACTCATGGCCGGCTGATGGGGCATTCCCATCTCAGCCTCCTACACTGGAAGGGCTTGGGCCATAATGTGGGCGTGGAAGGTGGCTGGGAGTCCTGCTGTGTCTTGGAAGTGGCTTAGTCCCCATCCAGCTGTGGGTAAGGGGCAGTGCTGTTGACTGGCGCATCGTGAGGCATACGTGTTTTTAAGAGGGTGTTGTCAAAGGTGCAGTGGCAGAAAGACAATTGATGGCACAGTCTTGTTGATTTAAAAGTTAGTGCTGTGCCTGACCCTGACCAGTAGTGAAAAGTGGAGGTTGTGAAAGCTGTCTGCAGGTTATGAGCCCTTTGCCAATGCTTCCCTTTCAGCAGCTGTTAAATTTCCCAGGATGGGGATTTTGGCAGGCTGGGCATGTAATGATAAATGTGTATGAATCCCATGGAAGCTTCCATGACCCAGGAGGGAGGGCAACAAGCAAGATTTGGGAAGGAAATCCAGGGCATGAATCACCTGCGGTTTCTATTTCTTGATCTTGCTGGACTTGCTCTCCATCCTATTGCTCCTACTTTCCCAGGGCTTGCTGAGACAGCTCGTCTTGCTGCCAGGAGCTGATGCCACCCCTCGGATATGCACCACCATGAACTTTAAAGTAGTGACACTCTCTGTCCCCACTGTTCTCCAGGATCTCCCCACAAAGACAGCAAGCAACGAGGTGCTAAAATACCCCTACGGTCAGTAGCTCCCTGTGGTGCAGGCTCAGTTGGCCACCTTCTATGTTTGTTGAGGATAGCTCTTTGCATGGGCCTGGGGATGTAGCAGAAGTGGAGAGGAAGAGGGTGTCCCCAGCACCCTCTGTTTCTCAATTTGTGTGGGGAGGGTGTGTCCAAAATCCCCCCTGGACAGCTGGGGTGCTCCTGCTCAGGTCCCTTGGCAGCACTAGGCTTGTGCCAGTAGCTTTGTGGGTTCCAGCCTCCAGGATCTTCTCAGCCAGTGGCTTCCCATCGTGATGCCAGGATGCTGTTTCCTCTGTTTCCTGGTGCCCATCATCAGGATGGGACCAGGACACCCTGCACTTACTGTGTGCATGGGGATAGCCTCACTACTTCTTTTTCCATTGTGTGCACTAAAAGACACTAATTCCATTGTGTGCACTAAGACACCTGCCTTGCTCCTCTCTATGTCCAGCGACTGACACGAAGGTGACCCTGGGGTCCCATCCACCCTGCACCAAGCAGGAGAAGGCGCAGTTCTGGTTCAACGCCTCCCGGCGAGGGCTGTACTTGTGCAATGGCAGCGCTTGGATTTCCATGCTGGAAGGTACTGGTGTGCAACACACTCTCAGGGATGGAAGGAAGCTCTTGCAGCAGAGAAGGAGCAGAGATTTTCCCTAGAGAGCACTTTGGGGTGGGAACCAATTCAGGCAAAAACAGAATGAGGGGAATGAGGTGTCCCCCTGCCTCTCCCCTGCTTGGCCGGGCTTCACTTTGCTCACGGTGCCCACATCAACACTTCCAGCGCAGCTCTGGATTCAAGTGCCTCTGTGAGCCAGCTGCCCAATCACTTACACAGTGCCCCTGTCATCCGTCCACCTTATCCATGTTGTTTGTCTGTTCTGGGGCTTCTCCAGTCAATATTAAGCTCCTGGTCTGCCCGAGCGAGACAGCTCACTCCACAGAGAGCCATGCCTGGGGTGATGGCATGCTCTCTGCCGTGGGGTCCCAAAGGTGTAGGTGATTTTGGTACTAAAGCTGTTGCAGAGAGGACAAGAAGGAGCAGAAAGACTCATCAGCCACCAGAGATACCAGAGGGAGCAGTGGGAGGGTGGCAGAGACAGGTCCCTGTGTCGTCCCCGCTCTGGTGACATTTGTGCAGAACGTAGTCAGACATTGGAGCAAAAAGGCGTCAAAGCAACCAGAGCTTGGAAAATGGATGTCATTTGATAATGAAATGAATTTTGCCCATTGGCAGATTTTCACTTGCTCGAGGCAGTCTGCCCAGAATCCCTGGTGAAGACACGGAGGACGGGGCACGTCCACAACCGAACTGCCCTTCACTTCTCTCCTGGGGTTTTTCTTATGCTGGTGCCCACATGATGGGTTTGGATAAACCATTTGGTTCCCACAGGAGCTGGAAGTGGATGGACTCTCCATCCTTACCTACCTCTGGAAGTCATCAGGATTGGCACTGTGTCCATGTTTTCCCAAGAAGACCTTTTGCTGGGATCTTGCTAACCTGCACTGGCCTTTCCTGTAGCTCTTCTCCCACCATTTGTCCCTTCCAGTACCCTATTTCCTGTTAAGACCACTTCTAGTGTTTCTGTTCTAATTTCTGGCATTAATTCTGTCTAAGTCTTCTCTAACTTCTTCCAGAGCTCATGCTGACTCCAGCCAGAGAAAACATCTGGTGCAGGGTTGCCACAGGTAGGTAAGGGTTAACCTGATTGGTCTCAGCAGCCCAGGCCCTTTCACTCGAGGTCTGTTCCTCTCCTTCTCGTTCTCTTTAGGATAAATATATCAGTCTACTTCGTAAGAAGCAATCAAAATATGTGGTGTGTCCTCCCAGAGGAGACTGCCTGGGAGAGAATTGCACAGCCGTGCCCTCTGCTGGAGAGCAGGCAGGGGTGCTGGATGTGCTGCCCAGCGAAATGGAGCCAGGACCTTTACCACCCCCTCAGGTTTTGGCTCTTTGCCACCAGTGACACGAGGACCTTCATTTCCCCCCCATGAAGCTGCATACAGCAGCAAGCACCGCCAAGCCAGCTCTGCTATGCAACGTGGGGCACCTCTCCAGGCAAGATCACCTGGTTTTAACATCACCCCCCTCTTTTTTTGTGGTCTCCTAGTCAAACAAAGACTGGACTATGTGGAGGAGTACCAGAACCTGGTGACCAACTCGGAGACAATGGGTGTTGAGGTTTTCACCATCCCAAAGGTGGGACTGTTCGCAGCCACTGCCAACCGGTACACCACCCCAGGATCAGCCATCTATAAATGGACCGATGGGAAGTTTGTGCCCTACCAGAACATCCCCACCTACCAAGCTCAGTCCTGGAAGTATTTCACCATAGGAAAAAAGGTAATTCTGTCTGGAAAGCTATTTCAGTGCCTTCATATTTCAGTACATTAAACTGCAATTGCTCGACTGGCTTCTCCTCTGAAGCCCCGAGTCTCAGGCGTGCTTTAGGGAGTGAATCTTTCTCTTTTCTGAGTTTGATGGGGTCATGATGATACACATATTCAGCCACTAAGGGTCCATTCTGGGGACTTCCAGCTCATCTGTGGGCTGCGCTCTGTGTTTACCACTTTTGCTGAGACACAGGGCGTTTTAATCAACTGATGCTGGCAGCATGGGTAACTGTGTGGCCAAAGCGCTCAGATCTCTTCCCTGTGGATCTCCAGGATGTCTGTGAGGTCAGTCTCCAAAAACCAGCAGCTGGAGCTGGATTCCTGCATGTGCTGGCATTCATTTCTAGCAGGCTCTGCTTCTACCTCCCTCAGATGTAGTGAGTGCCAGCATCAAAATGTTCTTTGTGCAGAGCTGCGATCCAGCCTCATCTGGGTGTCCCCATAGTGCAGCCTCCACCCTGCCCAGTGCTGGGGATGCACTGCCTCCTGAGGGACGTGTGGTCCCAGCACAGGCCTCTCATGAGGGTGGAAGGTCTCTGTCCTTGGGGGTGACTGAGCCTCAGCTGGACAAAGGCCCAGGCTGGTGCTGGCAGGGTACTGCACTGGGCAGGAGAGCACCCTCAGTGTCTGTTTTCTGCTTGTGGACTGTGTCCCTGCGCTTCTTTGTGGCCCAAACTGGGACACAACCTCTGCTGCTCTATAAGGAGTGTGCCGAGGTGTCAGAGCCAGCAATGCCACACCGTGCACAACCACAAACGCTCCTCACCTTGTGCAAGCCCATCTTTGCCACTGCATGCTTGTCTCCAATGCTCACAAGGGAGTTTTCTTGGTCTGGAAGTTGTTTTGTCTCAGAGAATCATAATTATAATTATTATTGTTACTATGTTTGTGATTTTTCTTCTGAACAACCTTTCCTTATGGGGGAAGTTTGGCAGCTCCCTCCCCAGCCTGTTTTGTGGGGCTCGTCGGGTGTGAGCAGCCACAGCATGGCTCTCCCTCTGCTGGGTTCTGAGGCTGTGGCTGTGAGTCTTGTCCCTGCCCCAGATCCGCATACAGCAGGCACCACTGCTGCCATGCATAAAGACCCTCACAAGCCAGCAGGTCCCTGTTTCTCTTCCAGGTGCATTGGGGTGCTTGGGGGCTGCTTGGGGCCCCCTGCCACCAAGAGCTGTCTTGCCCCATGCTGGCCATCCCAGTCCCCAGCCCTGCATCGCATGGGTGCCTCCCCCCACCCATCCCATCTTCACGCTGCCCATGCTTGTCCGTGACCCTTTGAAAGGAGAAAAAACAAGATATCCTGGCTTGTTATTTTTCAGATCTTCCTAGCAGTGGCTAATTTTGCGCAGAATGATAGAGGTCAGGAGTTCTCTGTAATATACAAGTGGAGCCGCAGGAAAGAGAAATTCATCACATACCAGAGGATTACCACGCACAGCGCTAGGGACTGGGAGGCATTTTTCATTGAAGGAGAGGCTTTCCTCGCGGTGGTCAACCACAGAGAAGGTATCCAGCCCTTATATTCCCTACCAGCCTGGCTCAGCTGGGGCACGTGTCCCAGGAGTGATGCCTGGGACCAGCGTGCCCCACCACAGGCACCCTGCTTGAGAGCATCCTCCTGTTGCCATGGAAACATTACAGCTTCCTGTGCATCCTCTGCTGGAGTGCGGGGCAAAGCTGGGAGTCAGTGCAGAAGAAACTGAGGGAAGAAGAGTGAGAGCCTGCTGACGTCCCTTCCTCCTTGCTTGCTCTGCAGATGTGGTCCAGCCTCGTTCTCCTCCCAGGCCATGAGTTGTTCTAGGCTGGGTTGTGCACCTGTCAACATAGAGGATGAATGGGTTGATAGCAGAGTCCCAGCTCTCCAGGACACTCCCAGCTGGGTTCTGTTGCTGGGTTGGTGGACTCCTTCCCTGCCATCAGGGCTGGATCTTGGGGCATCAGCTGCTCTAGCACCAGGCTCAAAGCTGGTGGCAGATTTCTTGGGCACCAGCTACCTGTGAGCTGGGCTAGAAATTCCTTGTCTCACTTATTGGACCCCACTATGGTCAGTTCAGATGAGATGTACTCCCACGGCAGTGGCAGCACAAAGGTCCTTTCAGCGGCTATGCATATGATGCAGGGGTTAAGACCATCACGACTAAGCCAAACTGGGGATGGTCCCTTTATGGAGTGGTGGAGGGTCAGTCCCTGAGAAGCTGTCATTTATCCATGTGGCCATTTTCCTCACACCCTATTCTCCCTGCAGCCCCTCTTGCCAAGTCTCTTCACTTGCAATGAAGATTGCCCATAAACCCATTAACACATGGTCCTGCTGGTGCTCAGCCAACAGAAACACCAGTGAGGCCAAGCCAAGTACAGCAGTGCTTAGTTAGTGTGAGGGTGGAAAAGGGCTGGTGGTGCTCCCCTCATGTCCCAGTGAAGACAGCTCCTTATTAGAAGAACATCTCTGGTTAGAGGGGTTATGCCAGGCTGGAGGTGCAGAAAGGATTTTAGCTTTAAAGTCAGCTGAGTGCCACACAGACATGAGGCCAAGGACAGAGCCCAGGAGCTGGATGGAGAACATGCTTTGGTGCTGGTGGGCTCAGCCTGAGTGCTCAGCACGGGGCAGGCTGCAGACTGTGGCATTCTTTCCTTCTTTCTGGAATTCATGCCATCATGGATTAGCACACAGAGATCCCTGGCCAGCCCCAGCACTCATGAGCTGAATATGGGGACTTAGCAAAGGAGCACTGAAAAATGTCAGTGCAGTGCTGTTCCAGCTGTGGCCCCTCCCAGATGTGCAAGCTTGTGTGTGAAGGGTGATGGTAGCCCATGATGTCAGTAGCTTAGAAACAGTCTCCAGTACACATGGCCGCCCTGTGGGACAGCCGACAGAGCTTGACTGCCCCAGGATGCTGGCATGGTGCCTCTGGTGTGCGGCTTGTGGGGAGGCAGGACCCTCCTGTCCTTCCACTACCAGGGACTGCCATGAAGCTGCCACCATACGCTCAGAAACAAGCTGCTAGTGTGTTCAGTGGGGATGGAGACTCTAGGTAGGGATGGAGGCTCTAGAGTCTCTTTGGCTACTACTTGGAGAGCATTCAGTCGCTAGCAAACAGCTTCGCAACCTGCTGGCAAATATTTGTGTAGCTGAACCTCTTTCTGGGTCGTGTTTCTTATGTGAACCAGGTATTCCTTTTCCTCATAGTGCACATCTGTTTGTCTCTCTGTCTGTCTGTCTTCTCCAGGGAATAACCACAACATAAACAGCGTGATATATAGGTGGAACCCCAGGACAGGGTTGTTTGAAACCAACCAGACTATCCCTACCTCTGGAGCCTATGACTGGGAGTTTTTCACCATTGGGCCGTATTCCTTCCTGGCTGTGGCTAATACTTTCAATGGCACATCCACTAAGATCTACTCGCACATCTACATCTGGCTCAGTGGTTCTTTCCAGCTCTTCCAGTCTATCCTGGTAAGGCTTGGCCACTGATCAAGCTCTACTCCTTTGTCCCTCCTATGGGTTTACACAAGCCACGGAGGCAGATGCTCTTAAGTCCTCTGGAAAGGTAGTGATATTTTCCCAGTGAGTGTCCCATAGGGATTGACAGAGTAAGGTTTATTTTTACCTTGGAGGGTTTTAGGAGTGGGTAACTTCCCCACTGCACCTCAAGTAGATCCCCACCACCACCTCGCAGCACCCTTAGTTTGCAAAGGCTTATCCACATCCAGCTTTTCATGTGGCTTCCTTCCCCACAGACTTCTGGTGCTGCTGACTGGGAGGTCTTTCGTATCGGGGACAGAGTCTTCCTGGCTGTTGCAAACAGCCACAGCTATGACAGCGGGATGCCAGCGCCCTCTAACTTCTATGCTATCAACTCCTCCATCTATGAGCTGAACATCACTGCTCAGATGTTTGTCAAATTCCAGGACCTCCTCACCTACAGGTATCTGTGCAAAAAGTCAGTGTGCTTCTCAGTTCACATCCTTCCCCTGAGCAACCTGGAGGTCTCCTGGAGGGTTCAAGCAGGCTTGCACACTGCCAGGGACTGAGACTAGTGGGGAGGGCAATGGGTGACAGGTCCTTGGACCAAACATCAGTGGGAGCTAGAAGAAGGTCCTGGATTTAGGAAGAAGGTGGATTTTCTTTCAGGAATAACCTGGGAAGAGCAGGGTTTTCTGTGTATCATCAGGGTGGCAGAGATTGGGGAGGGATGGGCTCAGCCCCGTTGACTCGCAGCCCCTTCCTCAGCTGGCCACCTCACCTGCCCTCCTGTTGCTTCATCCCCAGTGCCCTGGATTGGGAGTTCTTCTCAGTGGGAGATGACTCTTTCCTGGTGGTAGCAAACTCTTTCGATGGCTTCACCTTCGACGTTAACAGTATTATCTACAGGTACTGCTGTGGGAGAAAGGCAAGGCTGAGTGGTTGGGGGGGTTATGTGCCTGACAGCAGCCCAGTACAGGGGCAATGTCTGTGGACGCTGGTGCATTTGCCCAGGGAGGAGAGATTGGACTGCTCCTTGCTTATGGAGAGGTTTCCATTCAGGAATGAGAAACCCGTGAGGGACATCCTACCCTGAGTCACAGTGGGGAGGTGGGAGACGCTTCACGGCTTGGCTTTCCTGCCCCCTTTCAGGTGTCCAGCTTGTGCTCCAAGAGCTAATTGCCCTCTCTGTGCAGGTGGCAAGGCTATGAAGGCTTTGTAGCAGTCCACCACCTACCCACTGTTGGCTGTAGAGACTGGGAGGCATTTCACACCGCTGAGGGCTCCTACCTCTTCTACTCTAGTGCCAAGGAGCCGCTTTCCAAGGTCCTCAAACTGAAAACTGTCTGAGATGCTGAGACATAGCCCAGGAGCAGCTTCGGCATCAGCCTTGTAGCTGGCTGGTTGTGCACTTTGCAGGAGGAGGAGAGGAGCTCCAGGGCTCCCTGCAGCCTTGTCTGGGGGCTGCAAAATGACTGCAACCCTGCTTTGGTGCTGTTTCTCCTGAGCAAGCTCTCCTGCCATGCTCCAGAGCCACATCCTACCCAGGGTGCCTGGTGCCCAAGTGCTTCCCTGGACTCGCTGGAACCCTGGTGCTTGGCAGTCTCCAGTCAGGAGAGTCCAACTGCTGCTGGTTGTGGCCAGACCTCACACAAAGCCAAGGAAGAAAGAGACTGAGCAGAGCATGTACAGCCAGAATGGGTGTGTGGCAGAGGGAACGAAACAGCATGTGAGAAACTGAGGAAAAAGGCGGCTTCAGGCTTCATTCTGGCTGCCCAGCACCTGGAGATGTGATGCTGCTGAGGACCCATCTGGTTCAACATTGCATGCCATGCTTCGTGTCCATCTTTGGTGGCCTCACCAACCCATCCCACTGCCACAAGTGCCTGCCCACCCACCCACTCCGCTATGGCCAGTGACGTGTGTATATTGTACAAATTGTGCTGAGTGACATGTGTATATTGTACAAATCCATAGACATGTGCAAGGCCCGATGATGGTCTTTGTAACCCTTTGCATGAGGTTAGTGACTGCCAAGCAAACCTGCTGCATATTGGGACTGATCCAAGCTACCATGGACATGAGAAAGACCCAAAACTGTTCCAGGTGAAACTATGACCTCTTTTCTTTTCCTCACCTTTGCTGTGGGACTCTTTTGCTTAACCAGAGCTCTAATACACTGTGGGCACCCAGCCTTGCTCCCATGAGCAAGCTGTAGGTAACTGAGCTGCTCTGCCCATGGCAGAGGCTTCCCTCTACTCAAGAAGCCACCCCCGAGAGAGATGGGGCCATGTCCATGGCCATGGTTGACCTGTGAGGATGAGGTGGCTCTGAGTACAGCAGGGTGTTGGGATGAGAGTGCCCCTCCAGCTTTCCCTCCCAGGATCCTCTGCCTCTCCTGAGTGGTCCAGAGCATCACTTTGCCTTCCCGGTCCCACGATACCCACTGGGGCTGGGACACCTGCCCTGGCACTGGGGAGCCCCACAGGAAGTACCAGTCCTCCAAGAAGAGTCTGGAGGGGGTCGCCTCAGGATCCAGGCCCTGGAGACCTGCCCAGGGCAGCCCCTGCAGACCACCCTCCTCCCTTGGCCCATCTGTGGCTGCAACTAGCTCCACTGGAAAGGACCATTTCTTGCTTGTGAAACAAGGCAAAAATTGATTTGTTTCCATCACACTGAACCACTGAGGAGCATCTCTAATTTGGCTTCAAGGAAGGGCAAGATAAGGCGAGACGTACCAGACAAGATGCAGAGGGCACCATTTGGTCAGGGGTCCCCTGCTTGAGGTGGGCTGGGGTGAGGGTGGAGGGGATGTAACCTAATGCAAATCAAGCTGGTACATCGAATTTAGACTTGTCTGCTTTGGAAGAAATTGATTTAGGACAAGCACAATTTCCTTGAGCACCACCACCCTTCCCAGACACCTGGCTCCCAGTGCAGTGCAAACCAGAGGGGTTTTCGTACATGCAGGACTTTATTGAGAAATCAAAGGTTTAGGAGATCACCTCCAGGTTGCTGGTGGCAGACAGAGGCTGCCAGAATGCCACGTGGGGGCTGGGGCCTATGTCCTGCTCTCTGCAAGGCCAGTCCCTCACTGGAGCCAGGATAGGGTGACCCCACAGAAGAGAACAACCCATCCCTCTGTGTTCCAGGAATCTTCTGGCTCCACAAAAGCCCTCCCTCCTCATCTGTCTACCTCCAGGGGCTTGTTCTCTCCAAACCGTGTGGACCACAAGCATGTGGCTAAGGCTGCTTTCTCTTCAAGCCCAGCTCTAGCAGGGAAGAAGGGGTCTGCATGGAGGTGTTCCTCCCCGGGAATGTAGGCTCCATATATAGGTCTGCATGGTGTGTCCCAAGGACCCCTCCCCCATGTCATTTGCTCACACTCAGTCCAGCATCGCTGTCGTGAAGTCAGGGGCACCCATTTGCAGGACTGGAGCAAGCACTGGAAAATCCCACAGAGAAGCTTTGAAGCCCACCAGGTTGCCACTGGCTCCCTGCAAAGAACTTGAGAACAGGGCACCCCAGTCCTGTGCTACAAGGCGGTGTTGGTGGTCTCTGCATGGCCCTGGGTGCTAGGCAGTGACTTCAGGTAATCCACATCCTTGCAGGTGTCCTCTCGATTGTGCTGGACATAGCAGATCACGTAGACAATGACCATAGTGAACCAGCCAAACATGGTGATGAACATGGCCACGTCTGTGGTCCTCTGGCGCACACTGCAGAAGTTGACGCCAGCATCCAGGACCTGAAGCAGTGGCTTGCCCACATACTCCTCACGTGGTGCTGTGTGGCAAGTGATGTCCTGGACAGAGTCAGGGTCCAGCCATGCCTCCCATAACACCTCCTGCAAGGCACACTCACAGTGCCAGGGGTTGTTGGCCAGCCGGAGCTTGGCATTGAGCGCCAGCAAGGCCTCCTTGGGGATGCTGCGGATGCGGTTGCTGGACAGGTCGAGGCTACGCAGTCCAGCACCCACCCCTTTGAAAGCTGCCCTGTCGATTTTCTCAATGGCGTTCCTGGAGAGGTCAAGTTCCTCCAGGCGGGAGAGATGCCTGAAAGCATTGCTGGGGATCTTGGTGATGCTGTTAGCATCCAGCTTGAGAAACACCACGTCTTTGGGGGTGTCCTTGGGAATCTCCTCCAAGTGCTGGGAACTGCAGAGAACGGCCTTTGCTCCTGCTCGCTCCGTGCACTGACAGCTTCTGGGGCAGGAGCTGCCCCAGGGGACACACAGCAGGAGGCAAAAGAAAGCCGGGGTGATGCTGGTTGCTGGTGTGATTGTGAGGGTCATCTTGCACCCAGCCAGCTTGGCATGGCTGCTGGCAATTCCCTGTTGGCTGCAGCAGCGCCTGGGCAGCAGAGTGGCTCCTCTGCACTCCTGCAAAGCTTCTCCCATTGCTGGAGGAAAGCAGTGGGTGGAGGGGATATGACACAGCATTATTTCCTGGAATGCTGCTTACACTACATGTAACGTGCCCTGGCAAAGTGGTGAGAGGCTGGGCCCAGAAAACAAGGGTGGAATGATAATGCCTATCATCTTTTCAAGGACAGCTTAATTTGTCTTAAGATTAATTATACCTGGACATTGAGCTGCAGAGATTAAAAACCCTTCCCCCCTGCCCCCATGTCAGCACAGACCACCCAGGCAGATGAAGAGTGTTGCAGGATGAGGGTGTCGAGACAGGCACAGCCTAGGAGCTTCTGCCCCAGCCTGCTGACAGCTTCCATGTGGGATACAGTGATCTGCTGCTCATGAACAGAAGTAAATTTCTATCTCGCCAACTCTGAGTGTTAAAAAAAGTGATGAGTCAGACTCTCTGGATCATCAGACTGGCTTAATCACTACTGGCTTTTTAAATGACAGACGTGGTGTTCTTTTGGTTTCCCCATCTGGTCCATGGTCTGGTACAAGTCACATTTCCAAGGGTTTTCTCAAAGCAGGGGTCTGGAGGTGACTTAATGTTTAAAAGTAAACAGAGTATGTTTTAACAGCAAGACTCTAGGAGCTGGGGCTTAGGAGAGGAGCCAGTGACTCTCACAGTAAAGGGGTTGATATGGAACCCCACGAGCCACCCTAGCCTTGCTGAGGGTGAAGCAGGTGAGCCTTCTTTCCTCTCCTCCTTGGTACTACTCACACCTCTCCTGCTGCCTTGGTCAGGCTAGGAGGAAGAGATCCCCATGGAAGGGAAAGTTGAGGGGGAGGACCCTGGCAGGCCCAGGGCACCTTTCACAGAATGTTAAGAGTTGGAAGGGGCCTCAAAAGATCATTTAGTCCAATTTCATGGAAGAATGAAATTGTACATGGTGATCTCCATTAAGAGACCAGCTGCGCACTTAGTCATTATCCCTCTGGTACCAGTACCCTTCTGATAATGGCATCCCCCTGGTAACAGCATCCTTTAAGCACCAGCATCTCTCAGGTATGAGCATCCTCAGGGTACCACCTGGGGGATGCTCATACCTAAGGGATGCTGCCAGCAGATCTGCCCAGGGGTGTGGGACTGTGCAGTAGACTCTTCCAGGGGGAGATTAAGTCACGCTACCTAGGAATGACTCTGCCTCTACAA